TATCACATACAAAGCACTGAACTTCAGTTGAATAGAAAAAGAAGTGAAAGTATCTCCTCTGGAGGAGGAAAATTCAGGTAAATACATCATTATCCCATAGATCTGTTAATGGAGGAGTCTTGTCACAGCACCAGAAGTGAGGGACCCACTGGACAGGCATGGTCTTCACAGAGACACTCGTATTTATTGTACTTTTATTCATGTGCAAAAGACCAGAGGTAGAAAATAGAGTGGCACCTGGGAGAACTCTGATGTGACAGAAGATTAAGTCAAGGGATGAACAATAGGTATGAGGGAATTGATGATGAAAGGGAGCAGTCAAAGCAGGTAAAGGATGAGTGTGCATAATACCATCAATATCCCTGAGAAGACCTACAGCTACTCAGTTGCTAGTCCTGAGGAAAAATGTAATGGGAGAAACCCTCAAGAGCCTCCCCTGAGTTTATATCTGGAACTCAGTCGCCAAGTGAGAAGGGTCTGTTTAAAATAAAATTATCACTGCGTCAGTGTGGCAATTTCAGCCTCAATTGTCTTGTGCTGCCCTGATGATATAATGATACCTTGGTATCCTGAAAATCTTAAAGTGCTAATAGAGGAAGAAGGTGAGAGGATGGGCATGGCCCATAGGTTAGAGCTAATAGGAAAGAGAGGGCAGTCAAATATCAGTGCAGCGCATATGGTGCCCTGACTTACTCATAGGTATGGTGGGATCTGAATGCATCAGAAGCTCTTCAGGAAGAGCAGGCAGGCTTGATGCAGGGTATAAAAAAGGAGGACCGACAGTGTCAGTCAGAAATTAGGGGCCAAAATTGTCTCAGCTGGAAAAGAAAATCCTTGACAATGACACGCCAACCTGAACAGCAAACAGAATTCTGTCTTCAACAACAAGCTGAAACTCAGGAAGGTAATGAGATAAAATGAGGAGAGGGTAGCACCTCAGGGCACAAGGACCCTGCTTTTCAGGTTCGACTTTAAGTCAGCGGACACTTTAATCCACAGCGGTCTACGAAGCAGAACTGGCTCCTAAGAAACTTGTGAAGCAGATGGTAGGTCTCCTAGGCTGCTTCCCATTCTCCATCCCATTTTCTAACAGCTTTCCTCCCCCGTCCTTCAGGGTTAACCTTGGGCAAATCAGAGTTTCAACCAAATTTCACGCAGTGCTACAACTGGGAAGGAATTCTAGTTTGAGTTTAGCTTAAATATCTATTTTTTTATTAAATTCTTTTATTGGTACATTGTAGGTATACAACACGATTACATTTCTCGTTGGGAATTGTACCTTTACATGATGCATCTTGGTTCTTATTTTTTCCCCATTCCTAGCCCTCTCTTCACCCCCTCCACCCTTCCCTATTTACAAAGACTTTATTTCCATTTTTTCCATTTCTCATCATTTTTCCTTTCCCTTCTTTCCTTTCCCCTGACCCTCCCACTACCCCTTTGGACCTTTTCTTCCTATTTCACATTATCGATTATTCATTCTAATCATTGGTACATTTTAGGTATACAATATAATGACATTCATCATTGGAAATTTGTACCTTTACATAGTCTCTCTTGGTTCTTATTTTTCACCCTTGCCCAGCCCTCCCTTCAACCCCTCCATTCCTCACTATTTACAAAGATCTTGTTCCTATTTTTCCATTTTCTCATATTAATCCCATTCCCTTCTATCCTTTCCCCTAGCCCTCCCACTTCCTTCCCATTTGCCCCTTTTCTTCCTATTTCACATTACCTATTATACATTTTAGTCCTTATTTACACTTTCAGTTTCTCACACAAGAGAAACTATTCAGTATTTATACATGTGTGTCCTATTTATTTCACTTAAGAGTATTGCCTCAATGTGCATCCACTTAGCTATAAATGTCTCTAATTTCTCATTTTTTATGGCTGAGTAGTACTCCATTTTACAAAAAACCCCCACATTTTCTTTATCCAGTCTCCAGTTAATGTGCATTTGGGCTGTTTCCAAGTTTTAGCTATCACAAACTGTGCTGCTATGAACATGGGTGCACATATATCATTGTGGTATGATTCTTTTAATTCTTTGGGGAAGATCCCCAGCAGTGGCTTAAATATCTAAATTTGCAAAATATCTTAGTGAATCAATTTATCCAAGATTATACACAGTGGGACTGAAACTCATTCCACTAGTACTTATGGAGGGCCTACCTTGCTCTAGTACTGCTGAGTTTACTGAGAATAGAGGGGTGAAGACAAGTCCCTTTGAAGACTTTCTGTCATTGCTCAGTCTTCTAAAGCATTTGAATTCCCTTAAATTGGCTCCCGGGAGTTTCCAGCCTCATTTTGAGTTTTTCTAATATTTTATTGTACCTACCCTTCCCAGCCCACCCATCACCACCCATATATCATCTCCTCCAAACTGTCTCAGAGAAGTATCTGACACATTAAGTTACTGTTTTCCAAACTGGGTTTTATGAGCACTTGTGGTAAGAAACAATTTTTTTCACAGTCCAGGCATGAACAGTCCCAAAGGAAGACTTCCCTGATCTTTCAGCTCCCTCTTGAGCTCTTCTTAAAATTGTTCTGGTGGAGAAAGTGCCCTTTTTCTTTGCTACTTCCTTATTCAAAACCATCTCTCCCCCTTGATGCAGAAAGGTTTCACTGAGTCTTAGCATGTGGTGGTGACCCAGTGTACAGGCTGCTGTCAGTGCCACCATCAGGGCTGGAAGGTTGATGTGCAGATAATAGGGTGGTGTATCCTTTTGGAGGACTGGTTTCCAAACTGCTTCTTTCAACAAAATTGAAATAGCTGAGCAAGTTGTCAGCCACTTAATCAATAAAAGTAATTTTGATGATAGACTCCTGTATAGTTTCTGTACATAATAATAAAATTTCAAATAATTTAGTGTTATTGCTGTAGCAAAACGACTTTCATTCCTGGAGCGAACATCCATTGATATCACTACTTAGAGAAACTGGTTTTCTCAGGGTTTATATCTCCAACATGAAAACTAAGAATTGAATTAATGCTGAAATGTTTCTCATTTGTGGTAATAAGTAGTCATGGGTCACATAGGAATTGATAAAATAGTGCAGTATACATTATTAGAAATAGCTTTCCAATACATTTTTAATATTGTTTGTAATGTATTTTCTCAAAATTTGTCATATATTTATATTTTTGGCTATATAATACCTAGAGGAAAATCTTTTATAAAATGCATAATCTTGAGAGTATAGGAGACAAAAACCATGTAGATATATAGAGAAATCCATAAAAGCCTTGCAGTTACAAAAATAAAATACCATGAATTTTGATTTCATTGAGACAGATGATGTAAAAATTCTCATCTTGTAAAGGCACACTTATGTATGTAACTTTTTGAAATATGTATTAAATTCTATTGAAAATATGAAAACATGATATAATAGCTTCATTAAAAGGTCAGTACTCTTGATGCAGTGAAACTAAAGTCTTTTAAATTATACAAATGTGTGATAAAAAATAGTTACTGAACTGGTATATAATTTTTTAAAAGTTTCTTAAAGGGAAAAATCATGAAATGCTTAAATTCCACCATAAAAAGAAATGCTTAATGATACCAAACAATGGCCCTACCTCAAGTCAGACTCAAAATTTACAAGAGGACCTCTGGGCTCTCTGGTGACGCTGATAAGAGACCTGTAGGGGGTAACAATGGTTAGGAGAGTGAAGAATGCCTGTTCTATTTTGCAGCCTTGCCAGTCTCCTGTAGTTACTATAACAAATTACCACAAACTTGGTGCCTTAAAATGACAGAAATTTACTATCTCACAGTCCTGCTGGCTGGCCAGAGGTCTGAAATCAGTATTACTTAGCTAAATTGAAGGTGTTGGCAGAGTAACATTTCCTGGAAGCTCATTGAAAGAATTCTTTCCTTGCTTCTTCAGCTTCTTGTAGCTGTGTGCATTCCTTATCTTGTGGCTAAATTATTGGCATCCTAAAATCTCTCTGTGCTCCATCTTCTCCCCTATGTAACTATTTCAAATTTCTTTCTAACTCTCTTTTTTAAGGACCCTATTGATTACATTTAAGGACCACATAGATAATCCAGGACAACCTCCTCATCTCAAATTTTTTAATCCTACCTGCAAAGTCTTTGTAAAGTCTTTGTAACATTTATAGGTGCCAAGAAAAATGCAGCATAATGTATTCTTTTTGAAGGTCTTTTTTTGTTTTGTTGTGTTTTGAGACTGACTCACTATGTTACCCAATCTGGCTTCAAATTCTTGGACTCAAGGGATCCTCTTACCTCAGTATCCCAAGTAGCTGGGACTATGGACCCAGCATAGGGGTACATTTTTTAACATATCACACCATCTCTGGAAATAATCTAATTATGGTGCAAGCAATGTACTGAAAAATACTTTAAAATGCATGAAAAAAATCACTCTCTTCTGGAACAGAGCTTCCTTATCAAGTCTATACTGAAAATTTTCCCTGTGAATGAATTCTTTGAGAATCAATCTTCTTCCTGCTATCCTGCTCTACACTCTAGCTCAAGCAATTTGTCTGATCTACCATTTCCTCTTAGTTCATTTTCCTTGAGAAGTAAGTTCTCAGACTCCAGCTTGCTGTCACTCATTCATTCATGCATTCATTCAACAAATATTTAGTAAAGGTCCTACAGGGCTTAGGACTTTGTTACGAAAAGTGAAAGAAGAGCATGTCATGAATTAAAACAAACAAACAAAAAATCAGAATCAGAACACTATGCTTGTTCTGAGATCACTCAGTAAACAGTCATTAAATACCTGCTGTGGTTAAAGCTTTTAATTATTGAATACAATCCTCAAGTTTGAGAATGCCTGCTGTGAAGTGGGAGATACAATAGCAACATGAAGGAAAAAATGATATAATAATAATTGATAATATCCCATGCCACTTACTGTCTACAGGATTTATAATCTATGAGAGGATGTTAGTAGTTTTGTACACCTTTCAAACTTTTTTTCTTCCTGTCAATTTTTAGGCCCTGAAGTGGACAGAGACCATGAAAAATTCAAGTGGAACCCATGTTGAGGAGTTTGTCTTGGTGGGTTTCCCTACCTCTCCACTTCTCCAGCTGCTCCTCTTTGTCTTCTTTTTTGCATTCTATCTGTTGACACTGTTGGAGAATGCACTCATCATTTCTATGATCTGGCTCACTCCAAGCCTTCATCGCCCCATGTACTTTTTCCTTGGACATCTCTCCTTCCTGGAACTATGGTACATCAGTGTTACTGTTCCTCGCCTGTTGGGAGCCTTTCTCACTCAGGATGGTAGAGTCTCCTATGTAGGCTGCATGACTCAACTCTACTTCTTCATTGCTTTAGCCTGCACAGAATGTGTCCTGCTGGCGGTTATGGCTTATGACCGCTATCTGGCCATCTGTGAACCCCTCCGTTACCCTAGTCTCATGCCTTCCAGTCTAGCCACTTGTCTTGCAGCTGCCTCTTGGGGTAGTGGCTTCTTCAGTTCCATGATGAAGCTTCTTTTCATTTCCCGACTGTCCTACTGTGGATCCAACATCATAAACCACTTTTTCTGTGATATCTCCCCCCTCCTCAATCTCACCTGCTCTGACAAGGAGCAAGCAGAGCTAGTGGACTTCCTCCTGGCTTTGGTGATGATTCTACTCCCTCTAGTGGCCGTGGTGTCATCATATGTTGCCATCATTGTCACCATTTTGAAGATCCCCACTGCCCAGGGGCGCCACAAAGCCTTCTCCATTTGTACCTCTCACCTGGCAGTGGTTGTTATCTACTACTCCTCCACTCTTTTTACCTATGCACGGCCCCGGGCCATGTATACCTCCAATCACAACAAAATCATCTCTGTACTCTACACTGTCATTGTGCCATTCCTCAACCCAGCCATCTACTGCCTGAGAAACAAGGAAGTGAAGGATGCCTTCAGGAAGACAGTGCTAGGCAGGTGCCACTATCCTAGGGATGTCCCAGACTGATATATATCAGATCCAGGCAGAGAAGAAAATGACAGTCAACAGGGACTTAGCAAGGAATCACAGAATGGGCTTAAGAAAACACAGATATTAATTACTCCACAATTTCTCTGAAACTGGTCTAGGAATCTCCTGATACAAATGAAAGTTTATCAAACATTGATTTGATACAAGGGCTTCCAAACTAAGATTGGACCATGATTGTTAATGTGAAGATTACCACAAAATAGGTAAAACATCTGATCAAACTCTCTGAGCTGTAACTCTGCCATGAAAAATTTTTGAAATTTCTTGGAAACTCTTGTTTCACAGTTTGAGAATCTCTACTTCACACTAAGTTCATTTTTTAAGAAATGAGAAAATCTGATATAAGAAAAGGGACTTACTAGTGGACATGTCAAGTCAAACTGATACAAGCTTTAATGTAACAATTTCAAACAACCATATTTTCAAATTCCACAGACATGAGAAATTTCAAAAATGCACATTATGCCTCAAATGCAAATTATACCCCAAGAATAAATTCATGTCATCTTATAAGTACTCTTTACTTCTACAAACCCCACAGCCATTAAAAGTCAAACAGAGAGATGAAATATTGATGTGTAGTCATATTTGCAACAGTAAATATGGCTGAATCCCTTCTTCACCTCTCTGTATCTCAGATGAAGATGAAGTTGGTTGACTTAATTAATGTTACTAGGTAGTTGTAAAATGTGTTAGAATACTTATATAGATTCTTTTCCAGCACAGCAGCCAGCTTTATTTCAACCAGTTGGTTCCTGGATCACATCAATTGTCAAATATTGCAAAATTTCCCCTAGGCAAAGTACCAGATGAACCGAAAGTGCCTTAATAAGAGAAGATTTGAAAACCAAAGATAGGATGATGATATCGCTGTAGTGAGAGTGATGACTTAGATTTTTAGCCTAAATTGCAGAAATTCTATCAAGTTTCCTTGAGTTATTTAAAATAATAAAATAAATGAATACACAACTGAACAAATTTCAATAAATACACATTGTTGGTCAGTGCACACCTGCCTATTCTGAGCCAGGATGCAGGTGGGGGAAATGGTTGTTCATCAAGGAAAACTACTTGATCAATAATCATTTTATGTTTTTCAGTGTCTAAAATAAAATAAGCAAAAATAATCTGATTTGAAAACAATATTTAAGTTGCCTTATTTTTATAAAATTTCTAAATAGCCTTAGAAACTTCTCTGAATGGAACTTACTTTACATTACATTCTTTTCTCCTTTCACAGTTAGGGAAGGCATGGGTTTTATGGTTAAGGATTCAGACCCTAGAACCAACAAATTTCAATTTGAGCCTGGCTTTACCACTAACAAATTATATTACCAAAGGCAAAGAATTTTACTTCTTTGCTCTTGGTTTCTATATTTCATGATGAAAATAATATCATCTATTTCATAGACTTACAGATACTAAGTAAATAATACATATGTGAGCAAAAGATTTACAAATTTCTCTTTTTCTGTGGATAAATTTGGACTAGAGTTAACCTCCTAGTTCTGGTCCCTCAGAAATCTGATAAATGGTACTAAGCAGTATTGCATATGATGCACATTAAGTCTGATTGAGAAGCGTGTTCTGGCTGGAAAGATAATAAGTGAATTATAAATTCTCTGTGAGAAATCATAGCTTCAGTTCCTTTTATAACTTGGCATATCTTTTGCAGGAAATTATGGGAGCCAGTGAAGCTGTTATAAAGCTGGCTTTTATGGAGTCTGGGGATTCCAAGTCAAAACAGACTGTGTACCTTTGTACAAATTTCTTGTTCTCATAGCTCATCTGTGCTTCTAAATAATAGAATCTTGTCCATTGTCTGTTTTTAGGATCCTTCCTCACAGGAGAAACCCCTGACCCTGCTCTGCTTGGATGTTGTACTTCCATCCTGTTTCTTTAATTTGATGACAAGCATGGCCTTTAGTAGTGTGTGAGTTTGATTGTACGGTGAAGCCTAGAAAGATCTTCCAGGACATAATAAATTAGTAAGCAATGCACACTCAATAAATGGTTAAGTCTCATCATTATTATCATTTGTCATTAATCAATATAACATACTAACAGAAAGCTTGATCTACTATTTAATATCAAACATAATCTTCCTCAAACTAATATTAAAGAATTGCCTTTCCCTAGGAAGTATTTGGAAAGCAAATCTTCAAGCATCTTGTAACTATTTGGAGAAGATAATAAGCTGATTTAAAAGCTTAGTATTCTCAATTGTAGGAGGTGTGATTGGCAAATATGGTGAATGTTTAAATTAAAAAAAATACTACTGTAAAAGTCACACTGCTATGATCTCCCTTGATACTCCCCCTTTCTTTAACACTTATCCCATCATTCTTGCCATTTCCTGAAGCAGTTCTGGAAGTCCTCTTTTGCGAGTTGTGGTCTCATGGCCAACATCATCTGACACAAGTGTCATTTGTACCATTTTTGTTATGCCACTTTCTTTCCCATTAGCAGATCACAAGTTTCTTGATTTAGTCTTGAGTATGACAGATTCCCACAGTGCATCAATTGATGTTGTTACATTTCTCACTGCTTCTCTTAGAGATTTCTCTAAATATTCTATTGTATTCTACCAGGGGTACCTTTTAAATCAAATGTGTTTAGCCAGTGGGTTGCTACTTGGTGCCACTTTTTTAAAACTAAGGTTTTCATTATCTCCTTGACAATGATAATTTTTCCCTGTGAGGCTAATCTAATGTACTTAAATCTAAAAACCTTCCTAACTCCAGCAATGACTCTACTTATCTGCCATACATTTGGTTACTTAGTTTGGCTTGGAACTAGGAGTGGTGACATATTTCACTTTTTCCAATAAAATATCAATGAAATTCTCCCAAGGCAGCTTTCTTTTTCAGAGAAAGATGCGACATGCGCTGGTCCTACTACCGTTCTTTTCCTTTTCTTGATCTTGGATTTGATGTCGGGAGCCCCAGTAGCCATTTTGAAATAACAGACGTGGGGAGGAAAGGCAAACATATGGAGGCTCTAGATGCAGAAATATGTTAAAATCTTCGCTGAAAAATTAAACCAGCACAGCAGTTATCCATCCATCCATCCATCCATTCATCTTTTTATTAAATTAAAAATCAAGTCCCATTTTTAAAACACTCTGTTTTCTAGCCTAATATACTTAGTGTTTAGTCCTTTGTCATTATCAATATCATTATATTCATTCTAACAATTATACTTGTCCTATCAACTGTGTATCAAATTAAACCTGGAGAATCGGCATATTCATTTTAGGCTTAACTTTTATATGGCATTGGTTTAATTTTTTGTATTCTTTTACAATTTTTCAAATGATATTCAGTTTTAAGTTTTTTCCAAAAAATTCCCAAAAGAAATTCTTTTTGTAAGTTTTCAGAGGAAAAGCATGACCCTTCTGAATCTCATACTTTGTCATCCTGCTAGATGTGATGGTCAGTCTCTTTGTCTCTTTAAGGTTATCATTCACAAGGCTGCCAGAAAGGGGCAGCATAGTGATTTCCAGGCACTGCTTACAATTGCAGTAGCTACTCTTAAATTTATTTTATGTTTTATGTTGTTTTTCTTTTTTCATTTATGTTTTGAATATGTATTCAGTGCAGTCTGCTTTTGACCAGTTAGAGATAACAGGGAACACGAAAGTACCATGCAATCAAGTTAATTAGGACTTTGTAAATGAAGTTGATCTCTTTTAAAATAGTAACACTGTTTATCACAGTTGAGTAAAAATATACTTGCCTCTACAAAGAAAGCATAAACTATGAGATTTGTATTCACAACACACTTTACAGAGAATCCAGACATGGTGATTTGCCTCAAAAGTTTTATGAGTTAAGAAAGGAAATAAGATAATAGATAATTTTCAGAAAGAATTATAGAATACTAAAATAAAGGAAAAACATGAGTGTCCCCAGTAAACTGTAATTTATTCACTTAAAAATCATTCTTTTTTACTTATAAGAGATCAGTACGTATTCATTTAAAATGTTTCTTGGTACCTCAAAGAACTAGAATTGGAAGTCCCATTTGACCCAGCTATTCCCCTGCTGGGTATCTTCCCAAAAGAATTAAAACAATCATATCACAGTGATGTATGTGCACCCATGTTCATAGCAGCACAATTTGAAATAGCTAAAACTTGGAAGCAGCCCAATTGCCCATCAACTGGAGACTGGATCAAGAAAATGTGTTTTAAAAAAAATAAAATGGAGTACTACTCAGCCATAAAAAATGAGAAATTAGAGACATTTATAGCTAAATGGATGCACATTGAGACGATACTCTTAAGTTAAATAAATAGGACACACGTGTAAATACCGAATAGCTTCTCTAGTGTGAGAAACTGAAAGTATAAATAAAGACTAAAAGGTATAATAGATAATGTGAAATAGGAAGAAAAGGGGCAAAGGGGAAGGGGAAGTGGGAGGGGTAGGGGAAAGGAAAGAAGGGAATGGAATTAATATGAGAAAATGAAGAAATGGAAATAAAGTCTTTGTAAATAGGGAGGGATGGAGGGGTTGAAGGGAGGGGAGGGGAATGGAGAAAAAATAAGAACCAAGAGATACTATGTAAAGGTGCAAATTTCCAATGATGAATGTCATTATACTGTATGCCTAAAATGTACCGATAAAATTAATTTAAAAAATAAAAAGAATATGATCTAAAATTGCTGAAAATAAAAAATCATTCCTATAATCTTAAAAAAATTTAAAAATAAAATGTTTCTCAGAACCATACATTTTACAGTATGTAAGCACGATACTTTTTCTCACCCTATTTTAAAGGTATAATTTAGGTTTTTTTTTAAAAAAATTACCCCTTGTATTGGTTATTTTCCCCTCACTGGGACAAAACACCCAACAGTTGAAACTTACGGGAGGAGAGATTTATTTTCCCTTATGGGTTTGGTCCCTGGCAGTTGGCTGGGGGTGGGCTTGCCAAGAACAAGAATACAGGGCTGGGGATTTAGCTCAGTG